CGCTGGTTTGTGAATTTTTATCAAATTTTTGTTTTTTGGCTCATCACCTTTCATGCCCATTAAAGAACTCATTTCTGTTTTGATTTTTCTTTAAAAAGTGGATTAAAGGCACAAAAAATGTAAATTTTCAGTTACCACGGACTCCTAAGCTAAGGAAATTAACTAATCTTTGGCGGCCATTTTCTCACTAATTTTACCTCTGAAAACTGGTGACCCCCACCTCCTTCATTCGCAAATATCTCGACTTGTATTCATAATAAATGGATATTTTTTTCTTCCAAATAAAGACAAGTGAACGATCTTTAAGATGATACCAATAACTCTACAATCCCAAAAATTGACGAGAGCCTAATTCCAGCACGCTGCCTTACAGTTATTCTTTCTGTACCCCTTTTCCGGCCAGTTTCGTGAAAATAACTGGAATAAAAACAAGGTTAACTAGTAAAAAATTCAAATTTTTCGTATTACTTTACAACCTGGATGGTGTTATGCTTTTGGCTCTTACGCGATGATGAAGTAGGGTTAACTTCCAATTCCGTCTATTCCTGGCTAAGGCAGCTGCTCACATCATCGCCTGATACCTCTATTGGAACATGCTGTTCGGGGTGACAGTGGTGCAGATAAATTGCTGCTGAATTAATGCCCTTTCTTAAATTTCGAGGGTCTTACGGGTGCAGCGCAGAAGCAGGTACGCTGTTTATTATGTGTGAGGAGTTTGACGCAGGTGTGAGATGAGCGAACGTGCATGTCGTGCATCAGCTTCTTAAAGAGTTAAAGTGAGTTTTTTGTGGTATCCGCAAGTGTTTATCAGTTTTCATTGCGAGAGGGATGTGGGGTGGGAGTGAGTGAGTGAGTGAGAGAGAGAGAGAGAGAGAGAGAGAGAGAGAGAGAGAGAGAGAGAGAGAGAGAGAGAGAGAGAGATGCGAGTGACGTATTTCCCTAGAGTGAGAGTGCTTGGGAAAAGGGATAGGCAGATGAGGTAAAAAGAAAAAAATTGAGGCAGCGTGGTGGAATCAGGCTCTCGTCAAAGTAATCAAAGTGAAAAAAATTGCTTTTTTCCGCAGGTTTGTGAATTTGTATCAAATTTTTTTTTTTTTGCCTCAACACTTTTCATGCCCATTAAAGAACTCATTTCTGTGTGGATTTTCTGAAAAACATTGATTAAAAGGCACAAAAATAATTAATCTTTGGCGGCCATTTTCTCGCTAATTTTATCTCTGAAAATAAGTGACCCCCACCTCCTTCTTTCGTAAATATCTCGACTTGTATTCAAGATAAATGGATATTGTTTTCATCCAAATAAAGACGAGTGAAAAAGCTTTAAGATAAAACCAATAACTCTACATGTCCAACAATTGACGAGAGCCTCATTCCACCACGCTGCCTCATATATATTGGTTAGTCTTTTTTCTAATAAGTCACCCCGCCCCTACCTTCATCTTCCCACTTACAAGGGGGGGGGGGGGTGCTCCAGTGATTCCTTTTTTCCGTTTAAAAGTTTGGGTACGCATCCAAAATGAAACCCTATTCTGATAAGATAAAAAAAAGGAAAAGAAATAAATTATGCAATTAGGTATAATTTTCGGTTGTTATGATCAAATGCCTTTAAATTGTTTGAAGAAAAAACGCGGCGAAAAAAGC